GCCCCCAAAAGGCTTGTGCAGCCACACAGCCACTCTGTGGAAGGGGCCAAAGCAGATGTGTGAACCAAGGCTGCTGCGCCTCGTTTTGGTCGTCCAAAACTAGGTCCACATGTGTTCCGCCCAAAGTAGGAGCACTTGGATCTGGCAAATCTGTCTGTATGTCCCAGACCATCCATGGGACTGGAATAGTCACGTACCTTAGGGTCACACATACCTACATTAGGGTCAAACATGGCAATGGAGTAAATGTTTGCAACTATTCCATACATGGACCGGGTTTTTCTCTTCGATCTTCCGTTTCCTCGCCCACGGTATTTGACACGATGTGACAAGTAAGTGACTCATCTCCTTGATCAGTTCCAGGTGTTTTCTTCTTTCCGATTTGGGAAGGATGTTCCAAACCTGGAACAAAACGACCTAGTCCACCCCTACATGGCCCTTCGACCTTCTACATAGGTCGACCACTTCCGGTCTCTCTGTTTGGACAAAGCCGTGACTCGATCTCCAGGCACCGCCACCGAAGAGCCCACCTTCGACGGCGACCGAGGTCGAGGCCCGGTCGATGCGGCGACCCCGCGACGCGGCGTGGTCGGCCTGGGTGATGAGTTTCGATGAGTCCACCGATTCCAAGGCTGCCATAGCATATGTAGGAGCATGGGCCCGTGACACTTTTGGCAGTTGCCCTGGAATGTAGGTGTCCCACTTCACGATCCTATCGCTTATATATAGGACTATTTTGAACTTTAGTTTACTTCAAGTGCAGAACACAATTATATACAGAAATCAACGACACTCCATGCCGCTGAACCCAGGCTCAATCGTCACAGGCGGGGGGGCTGTGCATAGCTTGGAGAAGGGATCGGCACCGTGTGCTGCACGACCCACTTGTTGCTGCAGAGAACTGGCCGTGGGGTGTCCAGATTGCTGTTGTTGCAGATTTTTGTCAAGTCGTTAGTCATCCTAAATCCTAGCAGAGCCACGCTCTGAATTTGATAGAGTACTGTGAGTTCTTTGGAGCATTCAATTCAACTTCCTCCAACACGTGTGATCTCCACCGGCAAGTGTTTTTGAACCTGACCTTGAAGCTAGAGAAAGGACCGACGATGGGGTGATTGTGTGGTCCGTGTCTTTGCCTCCGAACTTCATGTTTCCTGACGTTCGCAAGCGAGGTTGACCACTGACGGAACGGCGCGCGCCAGCGCGCATGTGTGGAAGAGCAGCCTGTGAAAGACCTGAGCAAACTCCAGTTCCAATATGTTCAACCAGTCAAAGGTACACAGTGACAAACTGCCCTCCTGGCCGGAACATATCCCCCCCAGACATGTTCTTTGGACTCGGGTTCCCGCAAACCATGACCGTATGACCTGGTGCCTTTCCTTTGTGGTTACCAAAAGATCTCTACGAGGATGGAGGGACTTACATATACAAAATTGATTTGTGACCTCAGTGGTCATCATGAATGACAATGGAGCAACCATGAATCGAAGGCTGCTGGCCTTCTTTGTGTGATGCCGCACCGCCAATCAATCGCGGGTACCAGTTGAGCTTGCACAAAGTTTGCTGCTCAGAGATGGATGGCTCGGCTTCAGAAATAAAATGCCAGTCGCAGTGTGCAGCGTGCTTTTCCAATCACAGGGTGCCCTTGCATGCCATCCACGCGATGTCGAATAGTTGTACTGTAGTGGGTTTATAAGAATTCCTTGGACTTGAAGTCGCACCTTTGGTAATTTATCCAAACACTGCAGGTAGCTAGTTGACGCTACTTTGTCAGCCTGCTCACCCATTCCATACGTGTCAAATGTTCCTTTCAGTACATGTTTTCGTTACATAGTGTCATGCCCAGTCACATGCCACAGTAAATCAATGGAATTGAGAATCCGGAGCGATCTTGCTGAGGGATCTGGAGCAATCTTGCTGAATCTTGCTTTTCCAAATCCCTTCCCAGTGTGTTTGACAGCCACTGTAGCGTGGGCTTCGCTGGCGTGTTTTGGGGTTCCTGGTCACCTGGTCCGACCGTTGTGGAGGCATCAATGTTTGACTTGGAAAGGGTTGCTTGGATGATCAAGTTTAACTAAACCCGACAACCTCAGTAGGGACCAGATAAAAATCCGAAGCAGCCACAAGTTCGCCTGCCCAGCTGGACGCCCCCACGCAGGGAAGCAGGCGTCGAGCAAGATTGCGCCGCTGGGACTTGAAAGAGAAACGAGAGCTGCATTGACAATTGAGGAGCACGCCCTGAACAGCCTCAAGACTGAGAAAGGGAATCGCAGGAACCTCCTGAATGGGATTGCCATCAGTCAGGAAATGTCAGGAACAAGCCATTAGAATCAATGAATTACTTCGACAAAAGGAAGCATTATCTAGATGTCAGGATGCTTGGAGCTCAGGTGGAATAGACTAGACTATCGAGACTAGGTCAACCACAGATGGTCAACGTTTTTGGAGCGTGGTCACAAGCGGATCTGTGTTTGCTGTTTAGACAGTTGAACAGGTCAACCCGGTCGTGGGAGGTTTTTTGAAAGGGTGGATCCCGCATCAGCTGGATTGTTGGATTGTGAGATCGAATTATGTGTATATAATAAGTCACAAGAAGCTAGTAGAAACAAGTGCATCGCTTCTAGTAACAAGTGCCTTACTAGTAGTAACAAGAAGCTAGTAGTTGGATCCTCTAAGGTATTAAATTTAGTATATAATATAAAAACGGCTTTTTTCGACAAACAGCTATATAGTAATCCTGGAGACCCAACATAGACCCCTAGATCCCCCAAGGCTTGGCAAAACCAGTTTTTATTGGACAAGCTCAGCGGTTACTAGATGGTTTTACAGATGGATAACTGGGATTACCAGGCCCAAGTCACTCCCCAAGTCCGACAAACCAACCACTCAAAGCTGCTCGCTGGATGTTCCCAGGGCTCGATCCAGCATCCCCTTGAGCGCAGTGGCGCCACTCGGCGTTTGGAATCGGAATGGTTTCCAGTGGCGCCAGTCAGACTAAGCTTAAGCGAGGCAGGACATTCTCATGGCAGGCTTAAGAAGAAGTGGGTACTGGTAGAATCATGTTGAATCCAAGAGCAGGAATTGGACACTTGGACATGGAATGACATGGACATGTAACATAGATCAGTCCCTTTATTGGTTTTCTGGCTGATTCTGTCCGGAAGTGTGGGGGTTCTGGGGTCGAGGACCAAGACTGAGGTGAAGACAGGGACAGAACACAAGATTGGGGACCTTTCAATACTCCAAAGTAATATAAAGTAATCATTAATTGATTGAAGAGTGACCTGAGCTCTTCAAATGAGCTGGTGGAAGCTGAACACCTTTATCATCTCACTCTACACGCTCGATATCTCCTTCATCTGTAGCGACACCCAGCGAATGAACGAGTTGGGTTGGGGTATGCTGGGATTTTCTCCTTTGAACATTGAGTGTCTTGGGGCAAACATCAATCGACATTTCTTGATGGTGTTGAAAGGCCGTGCTGCTTGGAATCGACCTCGGGCATCACACCAACCCCCCAACATTTCTGGGCACCCCCCCAATGGGTCTAAGTGATGGAGAGTCCCTGTAAAATTCCATTCAGATCTAAGTGATCGAGTCTTCGCCTCTGAGGATTCATCAAGATACAACCTTCATGCTGCACTCTCAGTCCTTCGGACGTTCGGGACTGCGTGCCGCGAGCCGTTTTCCCAGCGTGCCACGCCGGACCTGCAGGTTTCGGACGTCCTAAACCGTGGAGTCCGCATGGTTGAGCTAAATCAATTGGAGGTCCGTTTTTGTTGACTGTCACCATGATGCTTTTGATGTTGCCAAGGCAGATTGTGTATACGAAGTGGCTCTTCCAGTGACTGGTTTCTTGCCCGGCTGTGATGGTCGCCATGCCGAGGTTAGATGTGTCCAGATTTACCTCGGAGGAAGCGAAAGAGAGGTGCCGTGGTTTCCCGGCAGGCACAGGTTTTTAGAGTAGCACATGGTAGCGCAAGGGACAGACCTTGCCTCCTGTTATGATTCAATCTTCTACCATCTAACATTCCTATGTCCATGCATATTTGATCTATGCATCTAGTTTGACTAGTCTGGCATCCTACACTGCACTGGAGGCTCTGTCATAGGTGTTTACCATTGTTCTTGACTGCATCAAAATGACTATTGTTCTATAGACGATGGATACTATATCGCCTCTCGTTCTGTTGGTTGTACATAAGTTTAGTCCTTGGGCCCAAGAAAGTTGTCCAGTTTATTGGTAAAATAGTATACACTACGATGACATGTAGTCTCTTGTAAACTACACACCGCCCCATGCTTTCTGGGTCGTCAGCCTACTGACTGATGGACACTATCCTGCACCCGAGATGGTGGATTGGGGCACATTTTGCCATGATGAGGCTGAGGCTTTCCCTCCCTTCTGGTAAACTTCCTGTGAGGAATGTTGGAAAGCCTCATGTTAACGAGTCCTTCCCTTTGATGTTTGCTCAGCTAGTCCATTCTTGCAGGTAGGTGACGAACCCACTGGCCAGCCATCGGAGTGTTCCTACAGCCATCGGAGTCACCACGCGTCCCATCCGCCAGGCATTTGGGAGAGTGTGGTGATCCGCCCGAGGCCTGGGCCGTGCGCGCCCGTTCACCCGAGAGGATCTTGCGTGGACGGTTGGTTGGTTGGTTTGTTGGTTGGTGAGTGGGTGGGTGTGGGTGGGTGGGTGGGTGGTTGGTTGGAGGTGTTTGGGCTAAGCCTTCACCTTGCTTTCTCCAGGTCGGACGTGAAAAAACTCGGTGTTTGGGAGGCATATGGTCGATGCGGGGGACCCACCACCCAAACCAAGGATCCCGCATATGGTCGATCCTGCAGGGATCCACCTCCACCTGTCCACCCTGTTCGGACCTCCGAAGGAGGAGGAGCCACGTGAGCCGGAGATCACCGGTACCTTCGGGAGTCCCGCCGGGGTGGGACTCTCACGTGAGTCGGGTGACCCACCTGGTGAAGAGGGTGACCCACGCCGTGGAGAATGCGCCACATCCAGGTGGAGATCCTCGCGCGGGGCGAAGAGAACGGAGTCTTGGCCGCTAGGCGCGGGGCGAAGAAACCTGCCTTTGGAGCTGTGGATGGTGGGAATTGGGAATGCCCATGACTTTCGTACTCTTGCTGGTGAAATCTGGAAAGCTAGGTGGGATGGATATACCCACCGCTTGACCTTGAACTTGCCCCACTATTGCCAGTCTTTGAGACTCGCTTGTGCTTTATGTTCGGATTGCTTCCTTTGCTTCCAGCTACTTGAGTCTTGAGATGTATTGAGTCTTTCAATGTCAATGGGCATGTCTTGTGCTAACTCTTTTGGGGAGGAATGTACGCCCGTCTACCAGCTACCTTGTTGACGTATACAGTATTACGCAAAAAGGATCACGAATCACCCGCTGTTTCACCGCGGAATCCATCGAAGCGCTGTCAACACGAGCCGGCAAGACAACGCTGTCTCGCGGCGCCGGCAGGGGGACCATCCGCGTCCAGTACAATGCGCGCAGGATCTTCGAAAGTCTTTGTGACCCAGAGGAGACCAAACCGATCGTTGAGGAGTCGATTCAAAGGATTCAAGATCTGGGGATGACGCAGAGTCTTTGAGGATTCAACACTGAGACTTGGGGAGGTCCAAGATTGTTTTTGAGGGGATGTTGGTGTCTTTGAATCACTGAGCTTTCACCAGCCCTACCGTACCATACTCTTGCGGCTTCGATTGTGAGATGCAAATTGAGATACCTTTATTCTGTGACTTGCAAATGGGGACCCAGTAGAAATGTAGGCGGTCTGTTCTTGATTGAACATAAACCATCCAAGAGTCCAAGAGAAACAATGTTGGACTCCACCCAAGGCCATGGGTCAAACTTGAACCCCAAAACCACCGAACTTGGCATCTCCGCGTATCTCCGTGTTTCGGTGGAAACACGTGTTGAACCGCCGGGGTGTGCCGAACGTGTTCAACGCGATGTCGAGGAGAACAAGCGGATCTTCGACAACTGCGCCTCGGTGAACTTCCGTCAGCTCATCCACGAGGATCAGGCGCGGGAAGCTTGACGCGATCGCACCGGTGGTAGTGGCTGACTCTTGGAGCGACGCTTACAAACAGGGTCACTTGTGTTCCCAGAGCGTGAGGGGATCCCCCCCAACTTGCTGTGGAACCTCTACTTAGGTGTGTTTGCTTTAAACATCGATTTTTCTGGTTGATCTGTTTGCTGTTGCGAGTTCGTTGCTGGATCGGATACTGTATATCCCTTTTATCGTCGGCAACCTGTTCCAAGGACAAAGCCTAGAGATATCTAGAGCTTTGGCTGGCAAGACCAGAGCCTACCTAGCGCTTCCAAAGGGGTGCCCAATGGAGACCTATTGGTGACCCCTTGGAAGCAGCAGGTATGTTGCAAGTTCACAAAATGCATAAGAGAGTGACGAGAAAGGCATATCGATGAACAGGACGATGAAACGATCGAAACCCTTTTGTGCGGTGGGGATTCCTCAACACATAGCTCCCCAACGACCCCTTGGAAAGGTGAATGACATTTGTTTGGGGTTCCATTCTGAGGCAAGACGCTGTGTACGCAGGTCTTGTGTACGCATGCGTTGATGTTTGGTTCGACGAGTTCAACGAAACCCAAAATATCCCAAGGGTTTCGTACCCAAGTAGCTCCACATGTTCCTCTTCCATGTTACAGGTGCAGTGTGAGGTTGTTTCTGTCAATAGGGCTATTCAGGGCTCAGGTTGGGTGGGTTCAGAGCACTCAAGGAGATCAAGACCTATGATGAACAAATCCATACAAATCCCAACTGTGATAAAAGACCGGAAGATCCTTCCAAAAAAGACTGCTTCCATGTTGCATATTATGAACCCTGGCTGTCCATCACCACCGGGGGGAAAATCCTGAGATCCTTTGCCACGCTCGACAGCGCCGCTGCTCGGTCGGACGATTTGGAGCTCCAGGTGAAGAAGACCAGGCTCTTTGAAGTGAGCAAGACTGGACAGTGGAACCTTCTAGGCGCAGTGAGTGGGCCTATTTCGCACGAAAGGGACTGATCCACCGGATCGTTCCCAAACCGACAGTGTCACACGCCAAGTCCGTCCCGCCCCCCGAGACCTAACAACCCCAATTCGGCCGAGGTCGGGTTACACAACGTAGTGTGGTCAAAATGTAGAACATCCCTTTGAGAAGGCAAACAGTGCCACCAACCCCAATCTCTTTAGAACCCAGAGAAGGCGGACGGATCGGGCGGGAATTGCCAGGAATTCCAATCAACTTTGAGTCCACAGTCTTGGCCATGGAGGAGAGTTTGTTCGCAGAGTTTTCTGTGCGATGATTGGACTGAGATGTACTGATGTGGAGAATCAGTTTCAGAACTTTACTCAGTGACCACGGGAGGTATCTGAAACTTATTTGGCAAATTCCAGATCATTTGACCCCTGCTCTGAGAGGAAGGGTTGCCATTTTCATCCATTTTCGGTCGCTGGTCCCACCCTCCGTACGTGGCAGGTGGTTGGGTTACATTGTTACATGTATTTCCACTGTGGCAACTGGGCATGTTTCAAGAGGACGAGTATAGAGTCGAAAGCCCAAAGAACCAAGGTTATGGGGATCGAGATTTTGCAATAGTCCTGATTGATTAGGGTAGAACTAGATGTACAGGACACATTTACTATAGACAACCTCGCAATGATGGCCATCCTCATTCAGCACAACATTCAGTACAGCCCAGTGCAAAGCCTCCAGTCTGGAAACCTTGATGTCAGACACCCAACATCACCCAACCGTTGTTCCGAGTCCAATCCGCTTTGCTTCCGATCATCTTTGGGGGGGGTGAATCACGGCGTACACTGTGATGTCATCCCCGTCGTCCTCGTCTTGTCGTGCCGGGCCATTCACGGGTGTTCGTGCCGGTGATCGGTAGTGATTCCCCAAGGGTTTTGGCTCCTTTCCGTGTGGAAGCTGATGCCGAAGCGCGCTGAAACGCAGAGGATTGGAAGAAATATGAGATCAGCTTCAAGCTGAAGAAGCAGGGGGCCATGAAGCACATGTCAGGCCGTGCAAGATGCGTCAGTTTGGGCCATTTCACCACAAAAGGCACTCGCTGTGTGTTTTCTGGCGGGAGTTGCAACGAAGTCATCACAAGCTGGGGTGTTCTGCAGAGTCTTCTGCTTGTGCTGTTTGTATCCAAATCCGTCGAGGAGGGGGGTGGCCCTGTTGAGCACGGTAGAACATGAACGAAGCCAGAAAGGATGGAATCAATTAGCTGCCAGAGCAATCATTCTTGATCATGGATGATCCAAAATTGTTGGCGAGTACTGAGTAATACATCAATGTTTCTCAAGGATTCTCAAGGATTATCCAGTCTACTGTGGCTTCCTACCATCCATAATTTCTGGTGGTCATCAAATCTCAATACCCTTGAAAAGCACCACATTGCACCACATAGCATAGGCAAGATGGCTCGAGTTGGACTTTGCGTCACGTGCTTGTGCCTTATATCTCCAGGTGAACCATGGAGCGTTTGGCCTTGGCCTTTCGGGTACTTGGTTTTTCCTTGCCCTTATGTGTCTCGCCCGTCACGAGGTCATGTCGGGCGTCGATTTGAGCATCAACAGGTTGAATAACGCCCTCCTGACCAGGAGATGTAAAACATCGTAAAGCCATGCTGGAGACGGGTGGCTTTATTGATCCACAGTTAACATATCTGGAGTTTCTTCATTCTTGTGATAGTGATAAGCTCTTTATTGGGCAGAGTTTCATACAGCTTTTTTGCCACACACACACATGTGTGTGTGTGTGTGCGGCTTGTTTGCTCGCTGCTTTTGGGTGGACCCTTTGCAATGAAGGGGAGAGTCTAGTATCTTTGGATCTGATACCGGGTGGCTTTAAACCTGGCTGCTTTACTTGAAAAAGGAAAAACATAGCCCAAAGAAAAACTAAAATGAACTAATGATATCCATTCTTGCAATACATTGAAAATTTGCTGAAAATATGTCCTTTTAAGAAAATTCATACCAATGGTTTGTGTGTTTGTGTATTGTGCCCATTCAGCCCATTGCATATTGTTTGTGATTGGCAATTAGTAATCTTCATGAAAGGTGAGCCCTGTGCAAACCACCCAAGCTTGGGAAGGGCCAATAATAATCAACCATTGTTTTCAAAGGTTCAGCTCATTGCATTCTATGTGTAATTTGCAGTATGTAGGATTCATCAAAGCCTGAACCATGTGCAAACCAGCCAAACATAAGCCAGTGCTCTTTGTTGGAGTGTGTTTTATTTGTAAAAGTTTGTACAGTTTTTTTTTAGATTGTTTTAGTTTTTTTCAGTTGTTTTTAGTTCTATTTAGCTTTAATTAGTCTTTAATAGTTTTATGACTGTTTCTACATGAAAAACTTAGGGCAATCTTTTTACTCAAGCAAGCAAAGCGAGTAGGTTTAAAGCGGTATGGAATGTGCCCTAATGATAGTAGGGTATGTGCGCTTGGCATTGAGAGTTTGTTTCAGTCGATTGTAGGCCTCAGCTCTGTCTCAAAAAGACGAGACTGCCACTAACAATGACATGTTGACTCATGTCACCATGTGATTTGCCCATCCCAGTGGATCCAGTGACCACTATATATGTTAATAATTGTTAATATATAGATTCCCAGACAACCACTCGTTCCAAAGACTTAAAACCGTAAACCGACCATGACCAAAACCCTCTTGGTGTCCTATATAAATATATTTGAAGAAGTAGAAGTCACGTGTTTTCTAAGGAGTAGAAGTCATGCTGGGAAGAGTCTTATACATCACTTCTACACACAACTGCTCGCTGTGTGGAATCCACCGGGCAGAACGTCGGCCCACAGAACCCCCAGCTTTGGCCAGGCTTTTGGCGCATCGTTCCCGTCAGCCAGGACGGCTCGGGTCGCCCCGGTCGGGTTGCACCGGTCGGGCGTTCCAGCCCCCCCCCGACGCTAGTGAAGCAGGACGAGTCCATTGTCCTCTTTTACAATGAAGTCAACGACTCAGACCGTTGGACTTGACCGTTGAAGCGACGTGTGATCCGTAGGGTTTGAGTCTTCATCAGTTGAAGCTCCGCTTGGCCTTTTGACCTGACAAGTCCTGTGAGTTCGGGATGAAGGGGACAAGCATTCAAAGTCTGCGCCAGACGTCTGGACCACCGAGGCCGTTCCCTTTATCCGAATCCCTTCAATCTTCAAAGTCTTCGCAGGTGCGGCCAAGGGAGGTGCTGAGATGGGCTGAGTGCTTTTCTCACCGCGTCGTTTCTGAAGGCCAAAGATTCCTTCACGGGGCCGACCAAGTGAACAGCAAGCCAAAGGGTGTTTCCCTGCTGAACCTTCGGTTACGGGATGACCGATGCATAATTCCATCCATCCCCACACCCAGTGTTCCTTGCGGATCGATGTGCTGTTGACACCTCAACGTGTCCTTTACTGTATTTCTTAACAGCTACAGCTTCAGAGAAACACCCGGCCGGGCAGACAGGGACACCTTACTGCGTGGACCGCTCCCCGCGCGGCTTCCGATCCGTTGGAGGTCGCCTCATCCAAGAGATGGCGGTCTCCCTGCTTGAGGACGCGAATGAACGTGGGTGTGGATGGAAGAATGTGGAAGATCCACGGGTTTGGTGGGTCATTAAATATTACCAGAAGGTATTCTAAAAAGCTCGAAAATTCTTGGATGTGGCACCCCACCAAAGGATAGGTATAGATTTGCAATGATTTGCACCTGTTTATGGTATCTGGTATCGGCCTCATACTAATCATCATCATCATCATCACCACCACCACCACCAGCAGCATCAGCATCAGCAGCATCATCATCATCATCATCATCATCATCCTCATCCTCATCCTCATCCTCATCCTCATCCTCATCCTCCACAGTTTGTGGGCTGAAACAATAACAATCTACATGTCGATGGCGTCCAAAACCGCAGACGCGCAGACTGCCCTCCCTTGCTGCAGCTTCTCAAAAATGTATCCAGCATGAGTGGGCCATCCCTGCTCAAAATGCCAGATTTGTGGATGGCGCTGCTGTGTTGGGCTGGCTTTGGCGAAGTTTTAAGAATTCAATGAGGAGGAGTCTAATCGTGCCTCGAGATTCCGCGTTTGCGGCTCTTGCAGGAAGATGAGGAAGTGATGACCTCGCCTTTAAGCCCAAAGCTGGTGCCCTCCTCCTGACCCAGCAGAGGACTCCGCGTTCAAACATGTTGCCAGGGACGCGTAGAAGTGGAAGCAAGCGGCTGCAAGATCGGCAAGATCCCAATGGACAGCTGGACCAACTCGGATGGACAGCTTGTTGTTGGAGGCCAGTTGGCTCACTAAGACCCGTGGAGAGTAGCTGATGGCTCCACCCCTTTGCTGGTGGCTGCTCGGGGAGGTTATTCAATCGTGGTATTCACGATTGCTGGAGGCTGGAGGCTGGGGCGAGTTGCTGTGAAGCGAGAGATGATACAACTCCCTTGCGTTTGTACCACTCCCGGATTCGTTAAAGTGGTGCGCTTGCTGCTGGATGTTGGATCGTCATGTAATGATTCCCCACCAGAAGCTATTTGCACTCCTTCGCTTGTGGCAGCTGGAAATGGTTCGATTGCTGCTGAAGGCTTGTGCTTGTTGTGACTAGCGCACCACAAAAGATGGCTTCACGCCTTGGCATTTGGCAGCTCTCACGGGCCAGCTAGAAGTGGCACTCCTGCTTCTAGAGGCTACAGCCTCCTATAATGCCACACGTTTGGCTGCCTTCTGGGGCTATACAGAAGTGAACAACTTGCTGCAAGACAATGATGCAAAGTGAGGAACGAACACATCCCACTCAACACCCAGCTGTTGAACAAAGCCCCTATGATGTGATGATTTGGTCCGCACGGTCGTTTGATTAACCGGAGATCTTGGGCGAGATGAGCATGACAGTGGGATGACAATGTCCTCCCACTTGCTCCCACTTAGTGGAAGGAACATGTAAGCAATGGCCCTTGGTTCTCGTGGGATACCAACACCGGTGAACATCCAGCTGGTTCACCGGAAACTGTGCAGTTTCCTTTTATGGGAGCAAGGCAGCCATGTATTGCAATGTGGTCGCGATTTTGGTGATTGGAGGCCATCGCTTGTAGGTTGGAGGCCATCGCTAGCAGGTTGGAGGCCATTACGATTAGGTGTTTCCTTTTCAACGTGCCCATCTGATGGAGGGTTCGACCACTCGTGTCAGCACTCGTGTGCATTACCTTGAGCGACCTCACTGACCATGAGCTCTTTGGTTTCCGAGCTCACCCGTTTCATAGGCCTGATGACCTAATGGATGAAGCAGGATGATGTAGAATGAGCCAATTCTTGCACTCTACAAAGCTTGGCTTGGCACACTCTGACCCAACATGGAAGTGAAGCATCCCTGGTTTGCATAGAAAATGATCGACCAATTATTTTCACTTCCATGTTTGGCGAGTCTGAGCTTTTGCCCCTTTGGGACATCCCTGAAATCTCAGTACACTCCCTGGAATAATCATTCAAGTGGATGGCATGGCCCCTTGGATGAGCATGAAATCCTGCCTGATTAATTATTTCAAAATTTGTGCCCGGTATACAAGTCCAAAGATCCAGGAAAACCCGCAGCTTTTACCTCCTTGACTCCTCGAGTCGTGTTTTTTTCTACAAAATTCTGTTCCCAGGTCCCCGGTCACTGGCCGTCTTCTTTGCTTCTTGTCGCTGGATGAACTCCGACCAGGACCTCCGTAGCGCCTCGAAGCGGTGGCAGAAGGAAGAGGCTGCTCCGGTCACTAAAGCGGAAGCGCGGCAGCGTGGCAGATCGGAGATCCGGGATCAGGTGTGATTGGGTGCTGTCTAAGAAAGTGGTGTCCGATTGAATGTGTCCGAGATGTTGAGAATTGTTGAGATGGCTTGAAAGGAACCATATATCGCATATTCTACGCCTTCCATCACACTTTGAAAGGAGTTTAATCCAGCAGCCACCCCTTTGGAACCCCCTGCACGTCCAAGAATTTTGGACAGTCATGGAGTTTGGTCTAGTTTTGGGTCCCAATGAAATAGAAGTCACAACGTGACATACGCAATGGTTTCAAAGGGATTGCACAATCCCCACAAGGTGGAGTATATGGACCCCCATATAAAAGATAACTTTCAACAAACAGTTCATCCACCAGCCAGTGACCTCGAGCCATTCACCCCGGCTTCCCCGGCTCGCCTCTCCAGGCCGAAGGCATCCGTCACCACTTC